TACATTGTTAAAATAACCAATATAAAATAAAAATTACAGGTAAAAGCATGGGTTCTGTGATACATTTATGCAGCTGAATAGCAAACTATATAGAGTAACAACAATGCATCAGAGACCTGGGAAAGTATCAGCAATGGATCCTCTGTGGTAAGAGTTTTACTCCCATTTAGTAAATAATACTGGTATATTTTTTGTCTTGAAACTGAACCCAGAACTCCTGGGTCAGGCTACTTGTTAAAAATATGATAGTAAAAAGTGAGCCCTAGAGCACTCATCATTTGTTTTTGGTTTTCTCCATTTTTATTTTTTGCAAAACAAATCCAAAATAGATAATAACTTGTTATCTATTTTCTGGTTTTGGGTCGATATGCAAATAAAGACAAACAAATACTGCTGAATGTACATGGATGAATCCATCTATCATTTGCATGTTGAAATTAAAAGTTTCCTTCAGATAGGTGTATTTAGTTTGAAGTATTTTACTGGGGTAGAGACACCTGCCTTCCTCATTCTGACTTTTGCAAGATTCCGTCTTTCATCCTTCTTTGTTGTTATGGTTTCACCTTAAGAATCTTCAGGGAAAACTTTGGCACACCATATTTTTTGAAGAACTGAAGAGAGAAAAAAACATTGGACAATATGTTGTTAAAAATAATTTTGATTCATCTAAATAATAATCTGTAGATCTCATAAAAAAAACTTTAGCAAATGTTTATCTTACCTCTTCTACAACATCTTCCATCTCCGATTCTGATAGTTCTTTCTGAGAATTTAATTGTATATCCAGTCCAATAATATGTTCTGTTAACAAAAATAAATCCATCACTCTATGGGGGATAAGGAATGTCACATTTTATTTGTTAACAATATTAGATTATATACAGAAAATTTGGGTTACATTTCTACTAAAGCTAGGAAATGTCCTGGTAACATTGGGGTACTTTGTTGTATAACATCAAATGATCTCACACTGCAAAATACTGCTATAATTAAAACCTGCTGAACTCTTGGGGTTAAATAAAAACAGTGTAGTCTTTGTAGTTCTTTGTGTGGTGAGTAGAACGCATTCTGAGCTCAAGCCTTTTACATATGAGAAAGTGTAAATATGATTAAATATACTTTTTAAACATGGCCATAATAATTATTTTTTAAGATCAAAATAGAAAACACATTGTTACTGTCACAGACTTGGTTCTGTTATGTTTTCTTTTGAGTATTCAGTTTTACTTTGCTCCATGTTTTCTAGTTTTAGTGGTTTAATTCTTATTTTGTTGTGTTCTCTGGTTATTTTTCAGTTTTCAGGTTTTTATTTGTTGCCCTCTGCTGCCCTCTTGTGTTCTCCTTTTTCCCTAGCTCCTTTCCTGTCTGCTCTGTTCCCACCATCTCCCAATCTGCTCGATAGCCCTCTCTTTGTTCTGTCTCCTACAAAAACAGTCCTTGTGCAGTTCCTCGGTGCTGGTTCCTCGTCTAACTTCCTCCAACTCCGTCTCTCTGAGTCTTCCTCGTCCAGATTGTTTTTCCCCTGATGTCTCCATGGTTTCTGGTTTGTTTGCCTTTTTTTCTCACGTTTGATTTTTTGGATTCCTGCCTCAGTTGTTTGTTTACCTCGCATTAAAACTACAAAAACTCACCTCTGCCTCCCTGCAACTGCATTTGGGTCCATAAACCTCAACCCAATCCTGACAGTTACCATATTATTAAAGACTGATGCTTGTGACTCATCACTTGATGCGTGGACAATTTGGTTAAAATTACTATATTTATATTACCAGTTAACCCATTATTACCATTGTTTTACTAAGGGAGAGAACTGAAAACCAGGTTTTGCTGAAAATCAGTATCTTTGCGAACGATTCTCCTTCCAGTTTCAGTCGGCTTGAATTGTGTCGCTATTTGGTTGCAAGTTAATTTACAAGCACATAAAACAAGAAGCAGAATAAGGCTGGTTTCATTTAACCAGAAAGGATGACAACAAGGCAACTGGCATTAGTTGTAAAGGGGAATACTCATTAAACCCTGGAAATTTTTAGTGAATGTCTCATTAGCACCATCTCTCCAGTAAACACTGCAGGTAACTAACTCTCTTAATAACTAACTAACTAACTAATACTGACTGTCATGTTAGTGCCATTTGCCTCATTGTCAAACCGGCTATTACTAATACTGCTAATGTTAATGGTACGTGAATCTGTCTTCATATGTTGCATAGTAGGCCATGACAACAGACTTGTGGTACTTACTCCATTGTACCATTTGATTTTCCTTTCATTGAAGGAATGAAAGAGTAAAATTCTCAACCTGAACTGCAAAGCTCAAAACAGAGACAGTTTTACCAGCACACACCCTAAACTTTGGATTCTCTGTTACCTGACCTCATTGGCAAGAATTCACTCTTTAATTAAATGGATGTATCCAAATCATTGAGTCACGTTGTAATTTAACAAAATAAGACAAGGTTTTATATCTGCTTTTAAACTTTCTATGTGTTGCTCCTCAGCATTTTAGATCTCTAGATTTTGATCAAAAAAAAAAAAAAACAGAGCTAAAAAGTTGAAGAAGAAGAAGACTGAAGAAACAAAACCTAGCAGGCATTTTTTAAGAATGAATTTACTTACTTGGTGCTCCAGCTGAAAGTCAATCAGGTTCCAGCATGATGGTGGTTGTTAAAATGAAAATAAGAATATCAACCTTTTATCCGTTTAATCCATAATATTTTGATGTGGAGCTTTCAGCACATACATCAACACTGGTTAGAAATCGCATCTTACCAGTTGTCGCAGTTATGCTTACTTCTCTGCTTCTGATGTTCTCAAACACAGAGAAGAGAGTAAATGTGTATTTAGTTCCTGCAGTCAGAGATGAGACTGTGTGAGTTAGTGGTCCATCTCCATCTGGTGCGCTGATAAATGTTTCTGTGCCATTAAACAGGAGAACAAAGTTGGTGCTGTTGTTTATCTTATCCCACTGCAGAGTGATGCTAGTCTCATTCTCTGCTGATTGTCTGAGGCCATTAGCATTTGCAGGAGCTATAATAGAAATAAGAAGAGGTAGTTTGTAAAAAAAAAAAAAAATATATATATCCGTTATGGTAATAAAAACTCTGTTCTGGTTCTCATGTTTCTTGGATGTTTAATTTTGGACTTATACTTTGGCTGCAATACAATCTACAAGAAACCATCTCTGTCTCATCCTCTGCATTTTGGGTCCAGCTACAAACATCTCCATTTACTGACATATGGACAGAAATGTTTTTTGTATCTCATTATTGCAGTTTTGCTCATGTTAAATGTTTAATTATTCTGTAAATGTTAAACTAATAAAAAAATACAATTATATTTCAAAGGATAAGTTTAACACCTGACGGTTAGAGCAGCCAGTTTCAGTTTATTTGCTCTCACCAGAACCCATAAAGATCTCAGTAATGTAGCCATGTTGATGATTACACCTCTGTTCTAAACTACTGGCCGTGTGTCTGCCCATCTTGCCTCTGATTTTTGACACCTTAATGAATAAAGGGTCTTACCAGTGACAGCTGAGATTTGAACTCCATTACTTCTGAGGTTCTCAAACACAGAGAAGAGAGTAAATGTGTATTTAGTTCCTGCAGTCAGAGATGAGACTATGTGAGTTAGCGGTCCATCTCCATCTGGTGCACTGATAAATGTTTCTGTGCCATTAAACAGGAGAACAAAGTTGGTGTCGTTGTTTATCTTGTCCCACTGCAGAGTGATGCTAGTCTCATTCTCTGCTGATTGTCTGAGGCCGTTAGCATTTGCAGGAGCTATAAAGGAAATAGGAAGAGGTATTTTGTAAAAAAAAAAAAAAAAAAAAAAACAATATATCTTGTATAGTTATAAAAAGTGTATCTTTACCACAAGTATCAAGTAACAAAGTATAAATACTTTGTTACCTTACTTAAGTAGAAATTTTGACAATCTATACTTTACTGGAGCAATTATTTTTTAGAGAACTTTTTACTTTGACTCCTTACATTTATACCGTATATATATATATATATATATATATATATATATATATATATATATATATATATATATATACTTTTTTTTTCAATTATCTCTACTTTATACTCCTTAGAATTTTAAAATAGACTCATCTGTTTTATTAATTTATGCTCATTTTCATCATGGGCTGTTAGTATTTAAAAAAATTAAAACCATAAAAATATTTTGCTTCATTCCAACAGATTATTTCTTTGTGGTTTCAAATCGTTATTGCGTCAACTGGTTGTTCACCATATATCAAAATAAATAGTTTTTCAAGATGATGCAAAGTAAAATTTACCACTGTTGAAACTGCCCATCTTGCCTCTGATTTGATTTTCAACCCCTTGATGAATAAAAGTGTCTTACCAGTGATAGCTGAGGTTTTAACTCCATTACTTCTGAGGTTCTCAAACTCAGAGAAGAGAGTAAATGTGTATTTAGTTCCTGCAGTCAGAGATGAGACTGTGTGAGTTAGTGGTCCATCTCCATCTGGTGCACTGATAAATGTTTCTGTGCCATTAAACAGGAGAACAAAGTTGGTGTTGTTGTTTATCTTGTCCCACTGCAGAGTGATGCTAGTCTCATCCCCTGCTATTTGTCTGAAGCCGTTAGCATTTTCAGGACCTTCAAAAACAAAAGAAGAACAGGCATGTTTTTAATGGGGCATGTTTGTTTATATAATTGTTCGTTAGGATAAGTTTTTCCATAGTTTCAGTAAGTTCTAAATTTAACTGTAGAGGAGTAGCAGCCTAGTGGTTAGGGCATTGTACCACTGCCACCCTGGCTCCCTGAGCAAAGACCCTTTAACCCCCCAACTAGTCTTTTTTTTTTTTTTTTTACTTATTTCTGCAAGATGCAAGACTGTTCCGTTTTGTACTTAATTTTTACATTTTGCATTATTGACATGTGACTTCTTCAAAAACCATGTTTCTGCACTCAAAGTGTATGCCTCATCCACATGTTTTCAACAACAGTTTTACATTTCTCTACAAGGGATCTGCCACTTTTAGTGCAATTAAGAGCTTAATTGCACATCAACATTGGTACATTACCTCGTCTGTAACAGATGAATGGTATAGTCAGTGTGCAATCCTCATCAAACCATCCTTCTTGGTTCCCAAATGCTGCAGCTGTACATGTAGCACCAACTGAAAGAAGGGGATTGCTGGCAAAACCATTTGGCTGACCAGTAGCCCAGTTTCGAAACAGAGATGGGTTGCCGTCAGACCAGGACTTTTCACCATAAAGACCAATCCAGACATTTTTTGAGCGTGGCAGGCTTTGAATCTTTTCATTTTCTGTCATATTTCTTACACTGTGAAAGATTGAAAAACAAAATCCAGAGCAGTTCATTACTTAGCACCTGGATGCTACAAAACTTCTACATTAACTAAATCCATCATTTACTTTCTTTCATTCTCATTATTTTTATTCTGATATAGATATAGACTTACATGAAATCTAATTGAAAAGTAACAGAGGGGACCTACACTTTAGTTTGAAGAGATTTCAGTTTTTTCATCTAATCTTGAAAATAAATCTTACTTAAAGCATCAACATTTATTTGGTTGATTTTTAAGGGCATTATTGTCTTATTTGAGTTACCTGGCAAGATCAATGTAGTTCTCTCTACAGTATGTCTGAGCGTCAGTCCAACTTTTAGGTTCTCTGACCAGAACAAAGGATGATGTATCATTTACAGTACCTGTAAGCAGAAAAGTTGTTAGGGTACTACCATCTTCTGCATGAGCACAAAGAGAGATGACAAGAAATAAAAAGCAAAATCAGGACCAATGGAATGTACATAGAATGGGCAATCCTCCAAAGATGTCTATGGTTTTAAGCCATTAAAAATGGCTCAACTCTGATCAAATCTTTTTTGCAGGAGAACATATTAAAAGATTGAAATCAAAGGCTCCGATTTACCTGGATAGGGCAGACTTACCATGCTAACTTTAACTCTAAAGCCAGGAGGGTTGTGATTGTGTTTAATAAAAGGATCCAGTTTCATCCAACTGATATTAATGATAAGGATGGCTGATACAGCATATTACAGTTGCAGGTACACATATAAATACTAAAGTAGCATTGGTAAATGTTTATGCACCAAACTTTGGTGATGTCAATTTTCTAATGGATTACTTGGTAATATGCCCCATTTAAACACTCATATATTAATCTTTGTTGACAATCTGAACTGTGTTTTTTCCTGGGCTGGATTGCTCTTGTCCCCGTTCTAATAAAATACAAAATGCTAAACTCACAGAACTAATGAACGTGATTGGGGACCTTGATCGGGAATCTGCCTCTAACCTTACTCCAGAAATACTTAAAAAGTTTGATCTGTCTCTACCAGATGGACTGAGCATACTATATGTTGTTACCAACCCATGGTATTTAGTATCAACATGGGGACAAGGCCAACCAATTGTTAACACACTTGTTAAAACCTCAGTCCACCTCACATCTAATACCCCAAATTAACAATTAGTCTAACGTTATTACAACTGACATTTTGCTGTTAATAAAAAATGTCAATCTTTTTATTCCCCCTTGTACAGGTCTGAATTTCCCACCGATGCTACCAAAATATATAAGTTCCTTGCTAATCTTCAGATCCCCACATCATACCTGACCATGGAAAATGACAAGTTAACATCACCTATTAAAACAGAGCCTATTATTTACAATTCATCCAGGGAGAGTTGCTGGATAAAGGCGTCTAAAGGCCAGTGGGGAACCGAATTTCAGATAGAGGCAAATTGTTAAAAGCTAATTTGAACACATTTCACATTCTTCGAGATAAAAGATGGTTCTCAAACAAAATCCATGCTGAACTACAGTATAAGATATTTTTGACCATGATTTGACCTTGATTCATCCCTGCATTTGTTGTCTTAACACCACACAGTTAGTTGCCAGTTAGTTGGACTTGTGTTAATAGAACAATATGTTACAGTCTAAAAGTTTAAAAGATTTTTTTTCTCACCTCCGTCTGTTATATACAATAACTTCATAACTGTTATATACAATTTTACTCACTAAATATTTTTCAATAAAGTTTCATATGCAAGTACCAAGAGGAACCTTATAGCACATTGGACTGCTTGTGCAAATTTGTTGGCCTATCACCTAGCTCAGGGACATTGATTCCCAGAGCTATATTAGAAAATCAAGACAGTGGGAATATATATGAGTACAGTGAAAGTTTATAGTACATACGAACATTTTTACCTTATAATATTTTTTGGATATTTCAAACATTGTGCATATTTCTTAATGAATTGGTGGAAAATGGTTAAAGATGTCAAATTAAAGCCTTGAAATAACCCTAGAAATTTCATTAAAGAGGCAAACAATGCAAAATATTTTAGATGCTCAGACTATCTCAAAGAAAAAAAACATTTTCATTTGCTAGGTAAAATGGTAAATGGCCTATACTTATAAAGCATTTATCATGTCAAATGATTTGACCAGAGTTATGTGCATTCAGTCATTCACCTGTTCACTACCACACACTCACACACTGATGGTGGCCAGCTTCATTGTAGCCACAGCTGCTCTGGGGCTCACTGATAGAAGCGATGCTACCATGCAAAGGCACAGCCAGGCCCTCTAACCACTAACAGTAGGTTATTTGGGTGAAGTGCCTTGCCCAAGGACACAACGACTTTGAAAGTCGGAGCTGAGGTTTGAACCAATGACACTTGGGTAGGCAAACTCATGCGGCCGATGCCACTGTTGGCTCCCAACATGAATAAATAAACATAAACTGCCTAAATTAAGATAAAGACTTACCATTGTAGCATACAAAATGAAATAAGTCACTGCAAGTGTAGTCATGCCATTTGCCTGTGAGTTCATATAATCCAATACACTTTTCATCTCCTTCATGATTACTTGGTTGTCCAGTGTCCCAGTCTCTAAATGTTAATTCCCCTGGCCCGTAGAAGCTACTGTCGTTTAGAGACCATTTCCAGCTGTCTACGAATTCATCATAGAGGCCAATCCAAGCCTTTCCTGTTTCAAGACATAATTGTAGAAATTAACTTTTGTGCTTCTAAATGTGTTTCTAAATGTTAAATAAGCTGTTATGAATGCAATGCACTCTAGCACAATGTATATTCAACGCTAAAGAGTTTTTAGGAACTCACCTGTATAGTTTAAGCTTGACATTTTTACATCTTCATCATCTGCTTCATTTTCTATAGTGGCCAGGTCAGTGTAGTTACGTCTGCAGACAGCTTGAGCATCTGTCCATGTCAGTGATGTGTTGACAAAGTAGTAGTAATAAGGTTTGGCAAAACTAACTTGCAGCAACGCTCCTAAGGCAATCAGAGAAACACACACACATTGATACTAGATAGAAAGTGTGAATATTTTCATATCCAATTATCCCAGTTTGTTTTCACATAGTTTTTAAGACCAGGACCAAACAACATTCACACACTATTAAAATATTGTTTTAGGTGGCAAAATGTACTGATCAGGAAGAAATAATAGCATGACAAAGAAAGTCAGTTTCATTAATTGGTCAGGGCCAAAATAAGATCAGCCATCCTTCTTCCACCATTCTATTCAAATTAAACACATGTAGTATAGAGATGAAAAACCTTGACAGTGCTGGGATTTAGATACAATACACTAAGAAAAAGAACAGAAATTAAAACAATAAACAATTATTTGTTCATCACCCAGGCTGAAGTCACTGAGAATATCAGAAATCTAGACAGTGGCAAGGCTCTTGAGATAAATTATATCTGCCCTGGGTACCTTACGATTCTGGATGCTGTCAGGCTGTCATTGCTGACACACCAATTCAACATTGCATCGAGGTCAGAGACAGTGCCCCTGGTCTAGCAGACCAAGGTGGTGGTCCCCCTGAATAAGAATGTTGACCAGAGGGTGGGCTCCAAATATAGGGAGATCACACTTCTCACCCTCACCTTGAAGGCCTATGCCAGAGTCCTAGAGAGGAGAATCTGGCTAATTGTCGAGCCTTGGCTTCAGGAGCAGTAGTGTGGTTTTCTTCCTGGCTGTGGAACAGTGAAGCAGCTTTACCATACACTCTCCTGGATCTGAAGAAGGCATTTAACAGTGTTCCATGTAGTGCCTTGAGGGGGGCACCTCAGGAGTATGGGGCCCTTTACTAGGAGCTATCCAGTCTATGTACAAGTAGACCACGAGTTTGGTCCGCATTGCTGACAGTCTTACTTATTCATGGTGCATGATGGACTCCAACAGAGCTGCCCTAATTCAAATATATGTATAGATCGGATTTCGAGGCACAGCCAAGGGCCGGAGGCACATCCCACTAGGAGGAGAGGTGAAGGGAATATGTCTCATGGCTGGCCTAGTAGTACCTCAGGCTTCCCCCAGCAGAGCTGGAGGAGGTGTCTGGGGAGAGAGAACTCTGAGAGTCTCTGCAGGGACTGCTACCCCCTCGACCCGGTCCCGGATAAAGCAGAAGATAAGTACATGTGCAAAAACTGAACAAAAAAAAATTTTGGCAAATCAGAGTGTACAGACCTGTAAGTCCTATGAAGATCAACCAACGCTCCATAGTCAGATTCTCAAAGAAAAATAATATACATATATATTTATATAATCTTTTGACATCTCTTAAATATAAAACTTTCTATGAGACCCATTTGGCAGACAATCTAACTGTAATTACTTCAAAATATGGTAGTTATAATTGATACTTACCTTAACCTTCCTAATGTCTTTCTATAATATAAAAGTACTATGCTCATATGTGCTGCAAAGAGCATATTACACAGGTCTGAAACTGATCTGCTCTTTTTAAGATTTTAAAAGTGGGTGTGGTTGTTATGTAAGGAACACATCACATTGGTTATCAGAAACATTTAATGTTTTGCCTCCAGCTTTACCTAGATAGGGGAATGAGGATGTGATGACAAACTAAAGCAAAAAAAACAAACCTGGAACTCATGTTGGTGTTATCTAAGATTGTTCTTCACTTTTTAATAGTCTCTCTGTCCCTAAATATAATTTATGAATATTTTAGTGTGACTTTTTGTTATTGTGTTACTAATGAGCGTAGTTTGATTCTGATTTATCATTTATGACTATCATTATTTAACATTGTTTTTAAGTGAAACAAAGGCTTTCAAGATGGACAACGTGTTGTCCTGCTTTCCAGTCAAAATTACATATGTATTGGTCTGTACATGTATAATTTAAAAAGTGTTCCAGATTTGTCTAAAAACTTACTCTGTAGGGTAATTGTCAATGTTATTTAACCACAGGTAAAACTTGAATCAGTTTTAGCCATCTCTGGTGTAACCCTTGAACTGCCTGACAATGTGTTTAGGAGAAACCATAATTTACTAAATATAAAAAAGCCAGCAATTTTGGATGATTAAGGGGGAAAATGAAATTCATTTTAGTGACCGGTTCTCAACTACTAAATTATATCATTCAGAGAAACCGTCTTATTCTGTTAACATCTCTTTCATATAGTATTGTTTTTTAGAAATGGACAGTCACTTCTGATTTCCACCGATATACCAGAAATGCTGTCAACTTCTAGGTTAAATTTATAAATTTCACATTACGTCTCAAGTGTTCTTGAACATGTCTGTAATGATTCTGTGTTCTTCTTTTTCAATTTTCATTACTTACTGATCAACTCAGACATAACTACAACTGCATACCAAGGGATTTTTTTTTTATGTGGGTGTAATCAAACTTTTAGATTACATTTTATCTCGCTTTTGCCTAACACTAATCTGTGGCTAAATTGGTAAAGTGATAATGTCTCCATAAGTGATCAAGATGGAGAAAATCTTATTAATCAAGTATCAGAAGCATAAAGGGGAGATGAAATGTAATTTGAAAAAAAAACTCTCCAAAAGAATGAAGAAGAAGAAGATGAAAAAACTGAGCTTCCAGTAAGAACGAAAGCTTGAATGCAACTTTTGGCACTAACAACAAATACCAGAGTTGTGGTATTTAAAAGCTGCTATTTCATAAAGCTACACAGCTGTGTTCATTGTTGTTTATTTGAAAAGTCAGCTAATCCTCATGGAACAGTTTCATTACTTGTCTATGCAAATACCATTAGTGTAAAGTTATTTTAGCACGCTGCTGAATAGTTAGGAACCAAAAGTCATAAATTCCCAGTTTCCCACACAAACACAGGTGGGGCATGAATTTAGTTATTAATTATCTTCTTTTTTTTTTTTTTTTTAATAAGGTCTCATTAGGTGAGACTGTGTTCTTCTCTTCTTCCCCTCTCTCTGCTTCATTCATGTGTGGTTAGAGCTGTTCCAGAACACACAACAAAGCCTAATCAAGTTTTTCAGCCACAGCTATGTTGGCATGGAATGCTGTTATAACCAGACTTTCAACCCATGATGCGGTAAACTGACGCACTGTGCCATTTTCTTTGAACATCCTCTTTTTCCTGATCTCTGGATCTACTTACCTGAGGCTTACCTCACCGCGAAATACCCAGATTCCTTGGCCAAAACCAAACCCAGGACCTACAGCAGCAAGACAACCAAACATCATTGGTTTCTTAAGTCATTACTCTGGCTCCCTGTATCTCAGATAATAGACTTACAATCACTTTTCTTGACTGTTTAACATATATACTTTAAATTTCATATTAGTCATCATTAGTGTTCAGTCAAACATCTCTTTAGCCGCTTTTACTATGCTGCTGCAGTGTATACTAGTGTATACTCTTTACAGTTTTATGTAAAATACGTGTACATTTGTACAAAACATTTGTTATTAGAATTTGCAATACAAATAAACGTGCCTCACCCAGCTAACCCCAATCAGAAGTAATGGCTAAAAGAAAGTGTAATCAATATCAACCCAAACATCGTGGGATCATGACATACATGGTAATTTCTTTGCCCCCTTCTTTTTGTGAGTACTCCTGTTTTTCAGCATTTTTGGATTGTGTGGATTTATGTTTTTTATTTTTTGTTTCTGTTGTACCCTTATTGTTATTAAAATCTAAAAGTAACCACCTTCAGTTTTTTGTCTGCATTTGGGTCCTCCTTCCTTCACCCTCCTTGTTGTACTGTAAACAATAGACCCAGCAGACTTTGTCTCAGTTTTGACTACATGCCAATAACAAGTCAAGATAAGATCACTGAAATAATAAAGAATGCTATTATTCTGTGATGGTTCTGCTTGACTTCACAAGTGACATCTTAATCACATAAAATTAAGCTGAACAGTTTTTCTTTGTTCACTATCAAAAACTAATATTCAAACTAAATAATCAAACATGCCTGTCACTGCTTACACATCTGAAAAATGTAAGTACTTCATGTGGGCGCAAATTAAAATACATTAGCACAAGCTGTGGTTATTGAGTTTAACATAGCCATAGAAAAATACAACAAAGTATCTCTGTTTTTGGAAGTAATTTTAGAAAACCAGCAGTTAACATCAATGGAATGCACCAAACTGTTTGTTGTGCCAAGTTGCAAAAAAACCAGTTTCCAGTTAAGACTCTTGACATCCTCATTCTTTACTATTAGATTACTAATGGACGTCATCTCCCCAAGGCTGCTCAGCCTCTACAACCTGAGCCTTAGCCGGGGGGTGGTCCCCACTCTGTCGAAGACCTCCTGTGTGTTACCGGTTCCGAAAATGCAGCACACCAAGGAACCTGCCCACTCAAGACCAGTCACACTTACCTCCCACCTGATGAAGACCATGGAGCACCTCTTCCTAGCACACCTACGCACTGTGGTGAGCCCCGCCCTGGACCCGCTGCAGTTTGCTTCCTAGCCTAACATCGGAGTGGAGGGTGCCATCATCTACCTGCCTCAGTGGACGCTCACCAACCTGGAGACCACCGGGAGTGCTGTGAGAGTCATGTTCTTTGACTTTTCCAGTGCATTCAACACCATCAGACCGGCGCTGCTGAGGGGGAAGCTGGAGGATGCTGGATTGGACAAACATCTTGCTGCCTGGACCATCAACTCCACACTGACCGAGGTCAACACGTGTGGCTGCACGGCAGTCAGTCAGAGGTGGCGGTCTGCAGCATCGGCGCCCCCCAGGGCACAGTTCTATCTCCATTTCTCTTTACCCTCTACACCTCGAACTTCACCTGCACCACAGACAGGAGTTCTAAGATGACTCAGAAAAACAGGGCTGTGTTTCAGAGTGGAACGAGCTGGAGTACCAATCAGTTATCATTAACTTTGTGGACTGGTGTGAGAAGAACCACCTGTGTCTTAACACATGTAAAACCAATGAGATAATGACCGACTTCAGGAGAAGACCCCCACCTCACTCCCCCATGAACATCCAGGGGCAGGACTTAGAAACTGTGGAGAGTTTCAAATACTGTGGTGTTCACGTCAATAATAAAGTGGACTCATGGCACCATTGCCATGTACAAGAAGGGCCAGAGACGCCTCCGCCTCTTGAGGAGGCTGAGGTCCTATGGAGTGAGCAGGCCCCTGCTTAAAGCCTTCTATGACTCTGTGGTGGTCTCATTCCTCCTCAAAGCTGTCATCTTCTGGGCCCCTGCCAGCGCAAAGCGGGACAGCAAGAGACTGAACAAGACCAATTCTGTCCTGTGCTGCACTCTGGACTTGGGGGAGAAAGTTTCTAAGAGGAGCCCTGTGAAAATAAGGAGGTCAGAAAAGTTTGGCTACAGATTCAAACAGGTCCAGCCTTCTTCACTGTCACCACCCCTCACTCAGCATACACTTGGTTATCTAGAAACCGTGACAGTTGTAGGCAACGAGTGAATACCCAACTTCTCAGTACTATGTTGTGTGCTAATTTCATTGTTGAGGAGCTCCAGAAATAGTACCTTCATCACAGATATCAGATTTATAGTTCATACACTTCACAGATATTGGAATCTGTGCTTAATCAGAATCAGATTTACTTTACTAATCCCTTGCTGGAAATTCTTTTCTTGCATGTCAGCCAAACCCATTTGCACAGGGACAGATAAACCAAACCTCCTAAATCCAATCTTCTCAGTGAATTAAATTATAGAGATTGGACACACCTGGTTCAGTGGTTGGGCGGAACAAATTCATGGCATGGAGATGATTGTTGACTCCATACTCAGTTTTAGCCTCTCCCAGCCATGGCACTAATTCTCTAGAGACCTCTCAGCTCTATTAATGTCTACTGATGTCCTCCCCCTTTGTCTCCTCCTTTCCCCAGCAGGCTAAACAACCACAGCTCATCCTGGTTCTGGTGCCCTCTCTGCTGGTGCTCCCGCAGAGATTTCCTGCTGCTCCTTCCGCAGAGATTTCCTGCTGTTCCTTTCTTAACTCCAGAACTCGGTCTCACATTACCTCTCTTTTCAGGGTGATTTGTCCCCTTGTTTTGGGTGATCTGACCAAAACAAACATGTTTGTTTTGGTCAGATCACCCAAAACCATGTCAGCTCAGATAAAAAAAAAAAGGAAAAATGCAACCAACAGTAATATAGGTTTTTTTAAACAGGTTTAACAGGCCATTGTAATCTGTTGTTCTTATGTGACCAGCCAATTTGAAATGCCAACACCTTTGAAATTAGGCAATTTTTGAGCTTTGTAATGGACCGGTGAAACTCTACTGAGAGAAAAATGAGATTGCGTAGCTCTGAGCCACATATAGGAGAGTATTAGGCCTGGATCCT